CAGATCAAGCGGCTGGGGACAAGGGACCAGCCCAGGCTATTGAAGTGGTAGAAGACCAAGAAGTTGCAGACTGGGTGAAGGCTGCCCTTGAGAAGCGAAGAAGTGGAAAGATGAAGGGTGTTGAAAAGCCCGCACTGCATGCCGCACCGCTAGATGCAGGAATACAGAGCCCTTCGCAGAACGGCGCAAACGGCTCAGTTGCGGCAGAGTCAGCAGAGGTTGCAGCGTAGGTCGTCTGATGTTTCTGTTGAACACAAAAGCCAGACACGTAAATGTGTCGAAGCCTTGTATCTTTCCTCGAGCAGCTGTTGGCTCTTATGTCTTGGCTAGGAAGAGAAGGCAGTATAGTATGCCATCTTGTACACTTTCGGCGTTGCACCGGCGCATTACTGGGAATGATTGACATGAAATATTCAAGTCGGGGTATTGAGCGTGGAGAATACATGCACCTAGCATAGCATACATCTTATCCAGTTTAATTGGTATCACATTTGCCGTGACAGACGTGATGTGCGTGGACTAAATCTAATGACATATGTGTTTAGTCGACTTTTGCACTTCTGGACAGGTTGCAGTCAATTGTCAACTGCAACCGAACCATGCCTTGTCATATTCTCTGAATTTAGGTTTCTGGCACGTCGCGTCACCCGCAATCCCATCTTTTTCTATCCTACTAAAGTGACCATTCTCCCCTTCCCAAATAAAACATCTATGTCCTCGAGGGTTGATTTCGTCGTGACGTAAATGCGACGGCGCGCTGGCACGTGACGGCACGACCCCTGCTTAGCCAAGCGTAATCGCGGCGGCCATGTGTCGTGGTGCGGCGGGAAAGAACACAGTGGTCGGAACAACTTCAATAAGTGGCCACGACTTTATTTCGTACGCCCCGCCCACGCTTTTTTCGTAATGCCACAGGCCTAGGACACACCCTCTCTCTCTTTCTACTGCTTCCCAAACTCGAGGCTACCCCGCTATTTCTTCTATTCGCTCTCTCGCAACATCTCCACTTGTCCCTAGGGACAGACATTAAATATGTCCGGCACCGACTACAATTACGATGAGCAGGTAGGGCTTGGATGCGCACACAAAATAATTCGCCTCTAACAAGTTTGCAGGGCCAGTTCTTCCCCTACTTCATCCTCACTGTCACCACACTCGTCACCGTCCCCACCACAATATCATTTCTGAGACCCAGCAAAGGTGCGCATCTTGGTTGTATTTCAATATCGCCATACTGACTATGTTCATAGAACTCGAGAACACTGGAGCGCGCATAGAGTCAGACTTCACCCCCGAACATGCAGATCTCATCCAAGGACAGCGAAAGAAGCAGAAGCGCATGGAAAGGAGGATCAAGCGTGGTCTCGTCATGGTGGGCGGTTGGGCTCTGAATGCCGCAATGGTCTACCTCATCCTAGTCACTGCAAGGACGACGCCTGACATTTGGGACCCATATGCAGTTCTCGGCGTATCAAGGGTAAGAGCGTTCTGCCTATCGCTTTGACTCGTGAACAATCATACTGACTCACAACACAGAGTGCAGATGAGAAGGCGATCAAGAGGCATTACCGAAAACTCTCTCTTTCTTTGCATCCTGACAAAGCCCGCGAGGACCCCGAGAAGAACATTACGCTGCAAACCATCAACGACCACTGGGTCGATGTCACCAAGGCCTTCAAAGCTCTCACTGACGAGGAAATTCGCAACAACTTCCTGACATACGGTCACCCCGACGGCAAACAGAGCTTCAGCATCGGCATTGCGCTCCCACAGTGGCTAGTTACCGAGGGAGCTGGCAAGTACGTCTTGTTGATCTATGCGCTCGCGCTCGGTGTCATTCTTCCCTACACGGTTGGCAAGTGGTGGTATGGAACCCAGAGGTTGACAAAAGAAAAGGTCTTGGTCGCAAGTGCGGGCAAGATCTTCCGCGACTACGACAACGACCAGGGCGAGACGGGTGTCATCTATGCGCTAAGCAGTGGAGAAGAGTTTAACGAACTCCTTACTGGACAAAAAGCAGAAAACGGCCTATCCAAGTTGGAGCAGAAGGTTCTTTCTGAGAACTCCGGCTCGCTCATTCCACAAACACTCACGCTAAAGGACCGCCAAAAGCTCGACGATTTGGAGGACAGCCGAAGACGCAAGGTTCTAACCTTGCTATGGGCATATCTTGGCCGTGTTGAACTCGAGGATGATACCCTAAACGAGGAAAAGTTCGCCGTCGCACCTATCGCATTCCGTTTGAACGAAGCCTATGCCGCCATTGCCCTCGCGTATGGCAACACCACGGCCGTACTATCAGCATACAGGACATCCCAGAATATCATTCAAGCTCTACGACCAGGATCCTCCCCACTGGAACAATTGCCTTACTTCACACCTGCTGTTGCAGATGCGGCTGAGGCCGAGCGGTCGAGGACACATCTTACCATTCAAGAGTTCATGCAAATCCCAGATGCTCAACGCAAAGCGCGCATCGTAAAGTCCGGCCTCCTCTCCCAAGAACAATACAGCACAGCCATGTCCGTAGCCTCGCAGATTCCTCTATTTCATCTCGAGAAGGCATTCTTCAAGGTCGTTGGTGAGCGATTTGTTACACCCAGCAGCTTAGTTCAGTTCGTACTTAAGGGTCGTTTCATTCCTTCAGGCGCCACCGAAATTCCTGAGGTCAACCCGAAAGATCTCCTCGATGTTGATCCTGCGGAAGGCGATGTTGCGGCGATTACAGGACGCAAGAACGACAACTCTGGCGATAAGCCCATTCAGCCACCTCTAGCACACGCTCCATACTACGCCCGGGATCACGCACCAAGATGGCACGTGTTTCTTGCAGACAGCAAGCAAGGACGCATCGCAGTGCCCCCATTCACGTTTTCGACATTTGACAAGCCTATTCTCGATGAGAGTGGTAAGCCTACATTCAACGTACAAACCCTCAAGATGCAATTCGGTGCCCCTCCACAGCCTGGTAGTTACACCTTTGTTATGCACTTGATCTGCGATAGCTATGTTGGCATGGACACCAAGATGGAAGTTACGCTGGTTGTCGAGGACGCCAGCAAAGCCGAACAGGTCGACGAGGAGGAAGAGATCAGCGAGCCAGAAGAAGGTACGTTTTTTTCTCATATCCAGGCAACCTGAATATGATGACTGACATTTAATAGATTCCATTGCTGGCCAGATGCGTCAAATGAAGACTGGTGGTGCGCCAATCAAGAAGCGGAGATCAGCAGCCGATGACTCCAGTGGCAGTGACACCGAGGGAGATGTGGAATCCGAGAGCGAGACTGATACTGACACGGACTCGGATGATGAGTAGATTGTTTGGTTCTTCTAGATGAATTGTAATTCACAGGATATTCTCATGTGCAGACCCAAGTAAGGAGATGGAAGCGAAACGCATACGCTGACGACTGGCATTCGTTCCTACTCCGCTTGGGGCCAGCTGCCATTGCAGGCATTTGCAGGCGTTTTCGGAGACAGGGGCAATTCGCGACTATAGGGACTACCATTTTATGCTTTTAGATGAAGTTTCTATTGCTAAAGGGGAGGGATTGAGAGGAACACCAGGTGTGTAGTAAATGATGTGTACATAGGGATGGCATTCGGCAAAATCTCAACCTCATGACCTTTGAACCACCTTTGCAGTTACTCTTCTTTTTTCCTGGGACCATATATGCGCTTGCAGTGCAATAACACTCCAGACAGAAAAACAAGACAGGATTATACTTCTGCCTTGGTGCAGGGTCGACGCACTATTTATTGACCGACATGAATCGACAGCCAAGCATCCGCTCCAACGTCCAAGACACTCGGAACATTAAAAATCTTGTTTAAATTGGCCGACCGACCTATATGCGCATGCCTAAGGAACCGAATCAGGTTCAAACTGATCGACATTTGCTTAATGCATAGTAATATCCCCATATCGGGAGCAGAGCTGGGGTTGGTGTTCGCCAAAAGTTCTGTCCCACACGCGTGGGGTTTCAGCGACGTCTCGGCTCCACCTCCTCATCACCACCATGACTTTCTTCTTTACACAGGCTTCCAAAGTGACAGGTAGGAAGATTCTAGCGTCCAGAGTCAGTTGACGTTGGTGGATGCCCTTCACGTTACAGGATGGACGTGTGAAGGGTGACGCGTTGATGACACCACTGGGCGTGGCCATGACATGAAAGACAGGCGCGTTGCTGTTGTCGTAGATAGTACGATGACTACCAACTCAAGTAAAAAAAATCCTAGAGGACTAATTATCACGGAACAACGACCAAATGGTTTCCGAGTGCTGTTCTCAGCGTCACGTACGTGTTCATCCCACAACGGCTCCTGAGCAGAGAGATGCCCCAGCGTCCTTTCCGTTTAGCCGCCTCCGCATTCGGCCCTGTCCCACAGAGCGGTCCTTTATCAATTTTAAGCGGGTAGGAGGTGCACCGAACATGGTGTCTCACTGTCGCCAAAGCATGGTCTGCCACACCCCAGACTACAGCCACGCCTTGGCAGGTAGTCGGATACTGAGGCTCCGCTATCCTCAGGCTCTTGTATGCGCCTCAGACACCAAGGCAAAACTGTCAAGCAAATCTTGGCGGGCATGTCGTTGCACATCACCCCTCTTGGCAGCTGCGGGAGCATACTTCGCCGGTAGCAAGTGACAATCACGCTACGTGTGTCACACAACGATAGCACAGGGGACCAGGCAAGCCACATATGGACGTTTACTAGGGCATATCCAAGAAAATTCAGTAATGGCGGAAAATGGATAAAAGGTACTGCATGGTCGCGTAGACAGAGAATCATCCTCATCCCACATTCACTCCAAGCCTTCAGCCTTGCTTTTCTTCCTTCTTTAATACCTTTCCATTCTTTAGCGACTTTGATAGTCTGCCAGCAATCACTCTCTTTGCCATTTTAACAAGATACGTCTGTGACGTTTAATCATCTACAAACTTTAATCCCCGCAATTTAAAGTCAAGTCTATTCCAGTCTTTACATTTACTATCAACATGTCTTTCAAGGCTATTATCACCTTTGTCCTCGCTGCCGGCTTCGTTGCCGCAAAGCCCATCAGCCACCAGTCTGGCCTCAGCCTCGACAGGCGCCAGATCGATGTCAGCTCCGTCATCAACGGCTTCAACCGCAACGATGGCGCCTTCAACTTCATCGACGGCTTCAACAACTTCAACAAGCAGCAGAAGGTCATTCAGATTCAGCAGCAGAAGATACAGATCGTCAACGACGACCGCTCCCGCCAGCAGATTGTCCAGCAGATCCAACAGGTCCTCATCGTTGACCAGGTCAACAACGGCTTCAACAACGATCTGAACAACCTCTTCCGCAAGAGCAACTTCCAGAACCAGTTCCGTGACAGCAGAACGGATGTCATCATTGTTCAGGAGATTGTCATTGTCATCGATGATGGCCGTGGCGGCCGTCGTGACCAGAGCTTCTTTGCTCAGAACGTCATTGTCGCCAACCGTGGTGGCCGCAACAGGCAGAGCGTCATGATCTTCGACTCCCGCAAGCTCATCGCCAGCGACATTCTCCGCGACAACGCCTTTGACAGGATCGGACGCTTCAATGGCATTGCCGGTGCCACTGGTCCCATTGACTCAGGCCTTCCCCTCAAGACTCTGGGCTACCAAATCTTTGACCAGCGACCCCGCCACGCCAACATTGTCGAGGATCCTGCTGCGATCCTCGGCGGCATCTGGCAGGGAGCAGTCGAGGACCTGCAGCGCAACAACGAGGATGAGAACGATAATAAGCTTAATGAGTTGCTTGCTGCCCAGGAGCTTGAGGAGCTCCTGAAGCAACAGGGTAACAACAACGACGATGAGCAGAAGAAGCAGCAAGAGGAGCAGCAGAAGCAGGATGAGCAGAAGAAGGCTGAGGATGCTGCCAAGCAGGCTGAAGAGCAGAAGAAGCAGGATGAGGCTCAGAAGGCGGCTGACGAGCAGAAGAAGCAGCAAGAGGAAGCTCAGAAGCAAGCCGATGAGCAGAAGAAGCAGCAGGAGGAGGCTGCTAAGCAGGATGAGGCTCAGAAGGCGGCCGACGAGGCCCAGAAGGCGGCTGATGAGCAGAAGAAGCAGCAAGAGGAGGCTGCCAAGCAGGCTGATGAGCAGAAGAAGGCTGTCGAGGCCAAGGCTTCTGCTTGAACGATTTCTTTCTATCTATGAGGCGATCTTTTCTTACGAAGTAGTTAGTGCACTGGTTTGCAGCGACGGTAAAAAGGTATACGAATGATCCATTTGGGAGTGATATCAATGGGAATAGGATGTGGTCTATACAGTTATTATATATACCCTATATGAGGCTTGTGAACAACTTTCGTCTTCCAACATTTTACAGTGTGTGATTTTCCATATTTCAGCAGCTTGTACCATTTTCGCAATTTGCAAGATCAGAATACTTCTTCTGTCTAATCTAATAATTGCCAGGAAGACCATTCCGGGCATATACCGCGTCGGACAATGCCATATGCGACTGTCAGAGACGTCAGAATAGCTTAATCTGTACTTACCTGCCATTTCGTTCTGTAACTACAACTGTCTCGATCTTTGTTGGCTATTATAGTCTCCCTATACAATACTAAACCCAGTTGAAACAGAATAGCTTACTGGCAATAGTCCGTGCTTAATTTGCACTACAACTACGGCAACATTCTATCCGGTCAAGCAGAGCCATACATTTTGAAATAAGCAAAGCTGATGGCTACGGTTGCTTGCACGCTCGTACCAGGCGTGACTTGTCAAAAGTTAAATGCTCCCATTGTAGCTCTGACGTGTCGATGAGGCCCACGCCGGATCATCTCGAAGGTTAGGCACCCCGCTTCAAAGGAGTCATACCGGGACACGCTGTTCATTGGTGTATCCAGAGTCGAGAAGTGCTTATTGAGCCACGATTTGATGTTGGGCAGACATCTCACGATGTCCGGGTACTCGCACCGAGCCACGCTAGTCCTATCCGGGAATGACGTGCCAAGCAGTGACGTAACCTTGATTGGCGGGGATGCTGCGACCTGACCGGAAACTTGCAGCAGGTGCCCAGAAGCTTCTACGTGCAGGGTGGAATGCACGCCTAGCTTCGAGACATGACGAGAAATCACTCCACATCACTGGTTGTTTCCTGATACTTCGCCCTCATTTGCGTCCAACTTATATAAATCTCGCCTGAGTCTTGTCCTACCCAACTTCTTTTGATTCTGCAGAGATACCCATCAACCAAAAGTGTACATACACCTAGTACAAAAACCTGATAGCAGGTTCACAAGCGCACGATTTTCATCTTGGCTTCAAGCCATAAATAAGGCTATAGTCACTAATCAAAATGACTTCATTCGACGCCTATACCGACCGAGCTGCAAAGGCCCTGGCAGACAGTTTCGATCTCGCCAAGGGCTATGCACACTCACAACTCACACCTCTACACCTCGCGGTGTCGTTGATAGATCCACCCAAGGACCTCGCAAACACAGTCGACGTACCCCCACCACCGCTATTCAAGCAAGTCCTCGAACGCGCAAATGGCGACCCACAAGCCTTCGAACGTAACCTCAAGAAGGCAATGGTCCGGTTACCAAGTCAAGATCCCCCGCCAGAGCGCACATCACCCTCACCAGCCATGGCAAAGGTGCTGCGTTCTGCGGAAGAGCTAAGCAAGACACAAAAGGATAGCTTCATTGCCGTCGACCATCTCATCATGTCGCTCTGCCAGGATTCGCAAATACAACGGATCCTCGCCGAATCAAACGTACCCAACACGAAGCAGATCGACAATGCCATCCAAGCACTTCGAGGAACAAAGCGGGTGGACTCGAAGACGGCAGACGCCGAGGAGGAGAATGAGAACCTCAAGAAATTCACCATCGACATGACGGCCATGGCACGAGAGGGCAAGATCGACCCTGTCATTGGTCGTGAAGACGAAACACGACGAGTCATTCGTATCCTGACTAGGCGAACCAAGAACAACCCTGTTCTCATCGGTGAGCCTGGTGTTGGTAAGACTACAGTCGTTGAAGGTCTTGCCCGCCGAATTGTCGATGCAGATGTACCAGCAAACCTGGCAGCATGCAAGCTGCTTTCACTCGACGTCGGTGCTCTAGTTGCTGGCAGCAAGTACCGCGGAGAGTTTGAAGACCGTATGAAGGGAGTGTTGAAGGAGATTGAAGAGTCCAAGGAGATGATAGTGTTGTTCGTCGACGAAATCCATCTCCTCATGGGCGCTGGATCTTCTGGCGAGGGTGGTATGGATGCTGCCAACTTGCTGAAGCCCATGCTGGCTCGTGGACAGCTTCACTGCATTGGTGCAACCACCTTGGGCGAATACCGCAAGTATATCGAGAAGGATGCTGCATTCGAACGTCGATTCCAGCAGGTCCTCGTCAAGGAGCCTTCAATCCCCGAGACCATCTCCATTCTTCGAGGACTGAAGGAGCGATACGAGACGCACCACGGTGTCACCATTATGGATGGTGCCATCGTTGCAGCTGCTACCCTCGCCGCCCGCTACCTCACCCAACGGCGGCTGCCAGATTCCGCTGTCGATCTGATCGACGAGGCTGCGGCAGCTGTCCGTGTCACCCGAGAGTCACAACCCGAAGCTCTGGATAACCTCGAGCGACGCCACAGACAACTCCAGATTGAGATTCACGCCCTCTCACGTGAGAAGGATGAAGCCTCACAAACGCGTCTGAAGGAGGCCAGAGCTGAGGCTGCCAACATCGAGGAAGAGCTGAGGCCACTTCGCGAGATGTACGAACGCGAAAAGGGCCGCAGCAAGGAGATCCAGGACCAGAAGCTCAAGCTCGAGGGCCTCAAGACCAAGCTCGCCGAGGCTGAGCGTATGCGCGACATCCAGACTGCCTCTGATCTCAAGTACTACGCCATTCCCGATGTCGAGCAGCGCATCAGCGAACTCGAGCGTGAGAAGGCCCGCGCAGATGCTGAGATGTACTCACACCAGGCAAGTGGAGGTGGTGAGTCTCTCCTGAGTGATGCCGTTGGTCCAGACCAGATCAACGAGATTGTCGCTCGCTGGACCGGAATCCCAGTCACTCGTCTCAAGACCACAGAGAAGGACAAGCTGCTCAACATGGAGCGCCACCTACAACAAGTCGTCGTTGGTCAGAAAGAGGCTGTCACATCTGTCTCCAACGCCATCCGACTTCAGCGCTCTGGTCTTGCCAACCCCAACCAACCACCAAGCTTCCTCTTTTGTGGTCCATCCGGTACCGGAAAGACTTTGCTCACCAAGGCTCTTGCTGAGTTCTTGTTTGACGATCCAAAGGCCATGATCCGATTCGACATGTCCGAATACCAGGAGCGACACTCTCTCAGCAGGATGATCGGTGCACCACCTGGCTATGTTGGTCACGATGCAGGAGGCCAACTTACTGAATCTCTCCGTCGGAAGCCGTTCTCCATCCTGCTCTTTGATGAAGTTGAGAAGGCTGCCAAGGAAGTTCTTACCGTTCTCCTGCAACTCATGGACGACGGTCGCATCACCGACGGTCAAGGCAGAATCGTTGACGCAAAGAACTGCATTGTCGTCATGACCTCCAACTTGGGTGCCGAGCACTTGTCGCGCCCCAATGCACCCGATGGCAAGATCGACCCCACCACCAAGGAGATGGTCATGAACGCGCTGCGCAACTGGTTCCTGCCCGAGTTCCTCAACCGTATCTCATCCATTGTCATCTTCAACCGTCTGACGAAGCGCGAGATCCGCAGCATCGTAGACGTAAGAATGGACGAGATCCAGAAGCGACTCAACCAGAACGGAAGGAACGTGCGCATCGAGATGACACCCGAGGTGCGCGATTACCTTGGTTCTGCCGGCTACTCGCCAGCATACGGTGCCAGACCACTGGCCCGACTCATCGAGAAGGAGGTGCTCAATAGACTTGCTGTACTCATCCTCCGCGGCTCCATCAAGGATGGTGAGACGGCGAGGGTGGTGCTCGATGAGGGTCACGTTGCCGTCCTGCCAAACCACACGGATAGTGAAGACGACTCGGAGATGTACGACGAGTCTGACGCTGTCCATGAGCTGGATGACGATGATGCTGGCATGGACCTGTATGACTAGAGGGATAAAGAGGAAGCATCTGGGATGTAAAAAGATGATGAAAGATGTCTTTGAGCACTGGCGTTAGTTGACTGGGAGGGTTTTTTTTTTCTTATCACTTGGGAAACTTGATGTCCATGATCTAAGAAGGCATCATCACAATGGGTTTTTATGAATTATGAATGATGATGGATTGATTGACTTCAACAGGTGCTTTTGATAAGCATTCTAGGTTTTAGCATACTTGGGCATTAGTGTCTTGTATATAGTTAATGAGACAAATATTTCAAAAATAATCTTCTGTGTTGGTGTCCAGTGTGGTAATTTACTGACTTGCGAATGAACTTGACTTGACTTCGAGCAGAGTACCAGTAGAATACTTCGTGAATATTTGCTAGTAATGTTCACTCAATACATACAATAACAATCACCACAATGATACACTTCTCCAAAAGAGTCATTTGAATTCATCAACTTTTTTGTCATTTCTTCGTTGAACGCTCCCATGATGGACCACTTAGCCAAATACAGGTTATTTTGCTTGTCTAAGCCCGGGTATATTGCATCCCACTCCACCACATACTCGAACATCCTAGTAGAAGAAACCCAGAATCTTGCCGGCAACGTGCTTCCTGCGGGCCTCCTCGTGGTCCATGATACCGGCGGAGGTGGTCAGGACAATGAAACCGAATTGACGAGAGGGGAGTAGCTTGACGACCCACTTCTCCATGTCGCGGAGCTGGACGTTGTAGCGGGGGGAGATGACACCGGTCTTGTTGATACGGCCGATGAGCTGGATGACGATCTTGCCGTTGCGGTGGTCGTCGACCTCCTCAAACTCGCCAATGTAGCCTGAAAAAAAAGTCAGTGTATGTTGCGGCGAAATAAACATCAGACGTCATGAAACGGTTCCGAAGACGTGTAAGTCCTCCGCAGTCAATATATCGGACACTTAAAGGTCAATGATCGTGGGAATCGAGATCATTAACTAGTTATCAGCCCGAAGAGGGGGGAAAGGGATGCGGATGCTGTTTCGGATGCGGATGCGCGCCTACGTCGTCGTTCGGAACAGGAGTTCAAGATGTCTGTGAAGAAGAAGTTGTACGTACCGTGCTTCTGCATGACGCGGAGGAACTTGACAATGACCTTGGAGGAAGGACGGATCAGGACCTGGCGCTTGCCAGCCTTCTCGGCGTTGTTGATGGCGTTGAGCGCATCGTTAAGGACGGAGGTCTTGACCATTTTGGCGGCGTGTGGAGATTCTCGGTGGCGGCGGAAGGCGACTGAGGTATCTACGCGCAGAAATTGTGGTTAGCCTCCAGATGCCAGAGCGTGGAGAGTGCCCTCAGACTGCAAGCATGAGGGTTCTTCAGCTCTTGTCGCAGAGGAGAAGCAGTGTCGCCGCCATCTCTGTGGACGACAGCGATTGCATCCCCAGGCTCTGAAGGGCACTCGGGTTGACAAGGGACATACCTCGGCTGGTGCGGGTGGTGAGCGGTTGAGGAGAGTCGGTGAGTATAGCAAAAGTTCGAGTTTGACGGGGAAATTGGTGTGGTGGGCCGTGCGCTCGCTAACTGGACGGTGCGTGGCTTGGCAGGACCGACTGGACCCTTGCGTGCTTGACGGGGGAACCGGCCTCTATACCTACACCCATGGTTCAACCCTCACTGCACGCGACCATTGTATTACAGTTTAGCTGGGAGATTGCTATATTCATGTTTAGACACTTGATTCATACATGTAAAGAAGAATTCAATCTGACCAACATACCACCCATGTTGCGCCTTCACGTGCCAACGCAATGTCTAACCGCTTTAGTCATGACGTAGCACGACTTGCTTTGCCCCCCAAGTGTATCTGTATTCCGAATCTTGTATCTAGCACTTCACATCTTCACCAGATACTCACTCTCCTGTCGCAACCATGTCTGAAGCATGCTGCACGTGCGCTACGCTCCTTACGTCGATACCACCTACATACGACGAGAAGACGGAGAAGCCCTCGCAGTTTGAGCGTAGACTTGACTGCTGCGGCCGCGCTATATGCGCCCGATGTTTAACAGATAACCCTAGATTCCAAAACTACTGTCCATTCTGCCAGATAGCAACAGGACCATCGGCATTGCCTCCGCAGGGTCTACGCGATCCTCCTACATATTCGCCACCAGACGAGCACCTGGCGGACGACGAGTTACCACCCTACTCAGCACATAATTCATTGCAAGCGCCACCCGAGAAGTCCAAGGCAAACGGTGAGGATGCGCCGGATGTGCTGCATTTTGTAGACCAGAATAACGACTCGGTACGCTCTTTATCTCTTCGATACGGTGTTCCGGCCGACGCCCTCCGCCGAACAAACAACCTGTTTGCCGACCACTTGCTAGCCGCGCGCAGAACAATTCTTATACCCGGCGAGTATTACAAGGGCGGGGTCAGTCTTAGTCCGCGGCCGCTCGAGGGCGAGGAGGAGGAAATTAAGAAGACGAAGTTGAGAAAGTTTATGGTTAAGTGTAAGGTGGCGGAGTAAGTTGCTGTGTGCTGGTATCTTGTTGGTAGTGAGGGATGTATGCTGACTTGGGTGATTAGATATGATGTTGCCCTTCTCTATCTCGAACAAGCAAATTACAACCTTGAGCAAGCGATAACTGCGTTCAAGGCCGACGAGGAGTGGGAGAAGGGACATTCTTTAGAGGCAGCCAAGAAGGGCAAGTCCAAGGCTTCTCAAAGTCTGGGTCGTAAGAAATGGGGGTTCGGAGGCCTTACTGGCCAAGCTTCGTAGCACATGAGCCACTACCGTTCTGGTCGATGTATGTTATACCAATAGACAGTCTGTGCGTTGACACTTCATGTCTTGCTCTACTTTCCCATGTACAGGCAAAGTTTTCAACACAATCCCCACCCAAACCAAACAAGTTTGCCCTGAAACTCCTCACTGTTTTGGTATGAGGGGAAGAGGGTGTGAACGATAAAGACCCCGCCCGTTTATTGCCAATGGGCCCATCCATACCGCGCGTCTTGCAAGCACCATGGCTTCCCGTTGGCTGCACATCAAAGCAAACTACAGACCAAAAAAACCTAGTCCTCGAGCTGACTGACAACTTCGCAACACTACGCCGTCCCGGCCATCGAATAACAGCCCTCGAGCAACCCCCCAAAAACGCACGTTGGATCAAACTGTGAAACGCCAACTGCACAAGCGGGCGCTTCGCAAGGAAAAAACCCAGGGGATTCGCACATGTGTGCATGTGCAAAGACCGGGGGAGTGGGCTGCTTCGGGGCAAAGTGTCGGCGCTTACACAGTTCACTGTTCTGTGAGAAATGGTATCCTTGCATGCTGATTGGCTGGCAAATCTCATAACAGGGGGGCCACCAAAATAAGCTGCAGTGCCCCTAACGAAGGAATCGAGTTATGGGGATGGTAGGTAAAATGTACCGCATGCAGTAAGACAGCAAAGTAAGGGTGTAAAAAGAGAGACCAATACTGCTATTCTGGGTGTTGGACTGCATGGGTTACGCGCTTGCGAATGATGGCGCTGGGACCACCACACCTTTGCATGTATCGTAGCGCTACTATGGCAGACACGACTGGGTAGTCACAGCGGCAAGGCAGATTGGGCCCGTGTGTGTGTTTTTCCTTCTTGCTTCTCGTTCGTCTATTTCGAGGTTGCGCGAGTAATATTTTGGGAGTGGGGAGGTTGCAAGGGGATGCTCGGCCGGGTAGCGGCAAAGGGTGTTCTGTGGGCTTGAAACCGCAATTGCGACCAAGTCGTTTTAAAGGCATGTTGGCCACCCGTCTTGGGTGCTTACTTTTTTTGTTCTATCCAGCTCAGGCAGTAAGGTTTTCCTCTTAGACGAACGGCCTCAGGAACGAATATATCTGGCTCTTTTCTCGTTCGTGTCTTTTTGTTTCTTCGTCACTGTCGTTGACATACTCTTTATTTATTTTATACACGGACGATAAGGAATAGGTGATCCTGGTTGATACCTTGTTCGGACGATACAATCTTTACATCCTTGTTGTTTTGTTTCATTCACCCTTTCTCAATTACGAGTAATACTATCAGACCGGAACTTGAGAGAACAAGATCGTCAAGATGAAGATCAACCCCGCTCCTTTCCACATGGCCCAGGCTGTCATCACTGGCCTTGTTGTTGTCCTCAGCATCGCTATCCTCGGTACTTCGGCACACACTCTCCGTATCTTCAACGAGCAACACCTGTCCAACCCATGGTGGGCTCCCATGTGGCCCCAGCACTTTGATGTGCAAGGAACCAAGGCACTGGTCGCTTCTTCCGTGGTTACATTGGTCCTCTGCGGCGCTTTCTTGATCGCATCATTCATTCCCAAGGTACGTGTAGTTCTGTGGTAGTGCTTTAATAGAGTCATGTAGACTAACAGGTGACAGTTGGCACTTCGTCAGAAATACACTCTGCGCGCGCTTCTTTCTTTGGCAACACTGCTCCCTACTCTTCTTCTTACGCTCATTACTACTGTCTGGGCACACATTCTCAACGGAAACGCACCCGATGTCGACACCATTCAGACATGGACATGTAAGATGCAGAGCTCGCGGCCACTCGAGCAAGACCTACCTGAAGGCATTGCTATGCCGCCTGGCATGGGCAACGGCGACTTCAAGTCGCTTTGTCAATCGAGCAAGTTTGCGCTCTGGGGAACCCTTGTCGTCTTCCTGCTGGTCGGTGCCAGCACTGGTGTCACAATGATTACTTGGATAGCAGACAAGTGGGCTGCCAGGCAGCACAGGAAGGAGGTCGAGATGGGCAACATCCCCGCCAATCTACCTTGAGAGTGGCAGCAGTATGTTCCATCTTCTCCAAGATGAAGGTTTGCTTAAGGGCTGGTTGGGTTGGGTTCGGAGGCGAGTCAATTGTTTAGTATATCCCGGGGTTTGTCCTCACAAGGCGAGAAGACATGGACTTGTATTTTCTGTAAGGCGTACTGGTGTTTTTGACGGAATAAGGCCTCCCGGCGGCGGGTCATGGGATGTTATACTTCTTTCGGTTTTACGATTTGGATAAATGAAACAAGTCTCAAGCGGCCAAGCAGCAATGCCTCATCCCTTCGACGTCTGGACAGTGTGAGGGCGACGATTCGAGAAGGGCGATTAGCCTCGTTCAAAGGCGATAAGGGCTAGTTGCGCACGAGCGATGGATGGGCTTGTAGGGTATCATGGGAAGGTGGTAGCGAGGTACGTTGACGTAGTCGCAATTCCACTGTCTTTAAAGATACGTGTCGGCAGTGTCGGAGCGCCATAACGCTTGCTGCGATGTCATGGCATCTGATGGGCGCTAGCAGGGATTGCAGGTGTTTGTCGCTGAGCAGAAGCAACAGCAAAGCCGGTGGGAAGAAAATGTCTTTTGGATGGGCCAAGATGCGCCGTCTCGAGACAAGACGGGAGTCTCAGCAGTTTCAGCGGCGGAGGGAGTCTGGAGCAAAAGTCTCAGTGCGTGTAGGTAGATGAAAGCGACCCGTACTCGCCCTCGTCCTCGCGCCTCTGCCTCGGACGCGGCGCGCGTGGCTTCATATTAGCCCGCCTCCCGCAGTGGATCCCGTGAATAAGCTGGTCAGCGATCACCCTCCTGTCCCCATTGCCCTTAGTTTGTCGCGTCATTCCAGCTGCCGCCATCCGCCTTGCTCGTCCCCATACTGCCATAGACAGCCCCAAACTATCTTTTGCGCCGGTGCCCTTCAATCTTCCGCTTCGCCAGTGCTGTCGGACCATCGAACCTTTTCTATCCGCCGTTCTTCGACGAGCCGAGCAGCCGAGCAGCCGATCAGATCGATCCGCCCCCCGACACAGGGCTCGAGCGTGCATTCAAGCGGCATCAGAAAGATCACCCCTCTCCACTGCGGCAGCGAGGCTGCATAACTGTCTGGACTGCCCCGGCCCGCGCCCTCTTCCTCCTCCTCTGCCTCTGCAATCGCCATGCACCATTGCTCTACACCACCTACACTCGCCCAACAACACCACCCCTGCAAGAAACAGTTCCAGCCTAGCATCACAACCTATTTTGAGGTGCGGGACGGCTTGCACAACGGAGACCACCTGCCGGGCCTAGAGCCAATTACCCGTCTGCGACACCAAAACACACGGCCAATTGCCCACCCCCGAGACCACCTTGCCTCCCACGGCCCTCCCCACGTCCAAGCAGACTTGCTGAGCGTGGGCATGCGAGTACGCAAGAGCGTGCCCGAAGGCTACAAGACGCATAAGATGCTCTCCTCACCCTCGGACCGCTTCGCTAGGCCGAGGCCTCGCCCGGACATCAAGCCCCCGCCAGAGGCCGTGCCCGACCACTACCAGCACCAGCGCGAGCTGCTGCCCTTTTGTGGCCTACACAACATTGGCGGCTTCGCTGAACAACCCACCACAAACCCTCACCTCTACACGACTTCTCCAAACCGCCAGAGACCCACCATTGCTTTTCCACTCACCGCCGACGCCTTCACCCAACCCTTCCCAGACCAATCTGCCGCAGACAGCGGCTACGACTCCACCACATCGCCCTCCTCGCAACGTCTGCACAACCCCTCAAAACGCTCCTGGCACGACGAAGACGAGCTAAGGCCACTCAACACAAACTTCCTCTTCAATGGCCGCTCCTCGACATCAAGAGGCGCCAACTTGGCCGTTGAGTTCGACGACGTCCCTGTCAGCCCATTGAGTGAAACACCCACCCAAGGTATAAATTCACTACCCCCCGTACGACAGTTTGCGCAGCCCAGATCCAGACGTACCACAAGGCGGACCATTAGCGACGACGACATTGACATGGACTTTGAAAACGCCGCCCGGATCGAGGGTCGCGTGGGCGCAGGCAGTAATAGTGACTTCGAAGAAGCTGACTTTCTGGCCGACGAAGAGGTTCATATGAGTGGTGTTTGATCTCTTTTCTCTCTCTCCATCTAAGATCTTATAGCGGCCTCTTTTCTTGTCTTCTTTTTTTTGAGTTTGATGCGCCTTTTGTTTTTCTGCTCTTCCGTTTGCAAATCATGGCATATGGCGCTACACGGTGAAGTTATTACGAAAGATGATATGTCGTTCATGTCGGCGCGTATACCCGAAATGTCCTTTTCTTTTTTTCCCTTTCCTAGACTTGGTCTTTTTTTCTTTTTCTTTTTCTCCTCTTCTTCTTACTCTGTTGTTCTCTCTGGTCTCCAAGTTGTATACTGCAGGACCTGATAAGTAATCTAGTGTATGTATGTGTTGAACTGAAAATGATCAAATAATCTCTTTGTCTGTTCTGTCACTGTTGTGTTGGGTTTATGCAGCATTACTTACTTCCTCTTCTGTGGTGATTGCGTAGCCATTTGTTGATGCTTTCGCACGTGAGAGCTGGGCAGCTATATCGTACCTTCCTGCCATAGCCCTGATTATGTCACGTACACGTGTGTCGCTTCCGTCTCCTCACCCGGTGAGATCACTGGGATTGCCCTCTTCGTTTCCTACGTCCAGACGTCCCTACAAATGATTGCTTTTCTTTCGCTCTCTGCTCGGAAGAGCTGTTGAAAACTTCACTCCAGAAGCCGTACTTGCTGGCGGAAGACCTGTAGGTAACGATTGCATTTCACAGATCGAAATTTAAAACTGCTAAAATCAAAACAGAATTTTAGAGATTACAAACTCAACTTATGAGTACCAATACTGTTCTTTAAGCCTCGAGTTTCTTCCCACCCCTCTGCTATCAGCGCTGTGAAGGTGAGGGTGAAGGTAGCTCATCTTCTTCAATAGTGGGACTCGCGGCTCGGCACTCGTTTAGTGATAGAACAAGTCTAGCTACTCTTGTAGTGTAAGTGTCACCAGTAGAAGACCAGTCTTTCCTAAACAGGTATTAAGTTCACCCTCACTTCTGTTTGCACGTGAGAATTCACATTCACCGTTGCCCGCACAAATGAGTCGCTTACTCATCCACAAAGATATTTAAGTCTCTTACCGACTCAACCGTGTACACAACTCCAAAAACCGAACACACTACATATCAGCGCTGAAATTCCTCTCGAATACCCATAATGCCCGACACAGGCAACACGAGGAAGCGCCACCTCGATGAGGCAAGCGACCTCAAGGCGCGTAAAAAGTTGCATCTTCCTATCGACGAGGGGCCAATGTCAGAAACCCTCCTTGCAAGTACAATCCGTGTTACTAATGAGATCAAGGCTCACTTCAGAACCTGTCAAAGTTATTGTCGGGATATCCGAGACGACCTATTTTGTAGATGAGGCATACCTTCGTGCAAGCTCTGACTTTTTCAATAAAGTGCTTGACGGGGATTGGAAAGAGAGCGCAACGAGGACTGTCACATTATCTAAAAACATGCCATGGGATTTCAGTATCTACGCCAAATGGCTTTACAGTGCCTGCCTTTATATGACGGAGCCAGATGATAGAACTTACGACAAGAACCTGGACATGACAATTGACAAAGAATACAATAAGCTGAACGAATGCTATGAGCTAGCCGACTTTCTCCAAGCCATCGACTTCAAAGACGCGTGTGTGGATTGGATAATTGATAAGATGGTGGCTTATAACGAGTATGCTTTTTATATTGCCGGGATAATCTACGCGCACTCCCTTAAATCGTCGCCCCATCGTCAATTCACCATCGACTGCGCCCTGAACTTTTGGCAAAAGGGATCCTTTGAGCTCATTCTTGATAAAGAGTTTCCGCAAGATTTCCACAAAGACTTGATACATGCATTAGGTTTGCCCATACGGAATGGTTTTAAAACAGTTCCTGTAAAGACATACTTCAAAAACATCGACATGTGCAAATATCACGAACACACCAAGAACAACAAACCTTGCTATAAAGTAAGGTACCCGCATCTCTCTTGAGCATGTTCACATGCATTGTAAGTTGCACAAACATTCCCATGCTACCTGACTGAACTAACTTTCCGACACCTAGACCATGATCATCCAGATTGAACGGACCTATGGAGACCAAAAAGACACGAGCATTAGGGTTGGCAGACCGGGTTAGCACATGCAGAATATCCAAAGAGACGAACTCATTTCATGGTCCATGGTATAGTCTCCTCTCATAATGGAGCTAATCAGCTCATAGGAGGAATTACATTCCATAATAGTCTAGTTCACCCTCTTACTTTGGTGGGATAGTCGAATATTTGTTTTACAAAACCCAGTGCTCTAGAGCGATTCCCACCTTTTCCCACCTCTGCAACATAACTTGAATGATACGATACTCTATATTTGATAAACACTCCATCATCATCACCGCCTCATGATCTTGATCTACCGATCCCGATGCATTGAAAAGAAGAAACGCCAACGCTATGCATACATGCGTGTAGCAAATACACAACCCACCTCTCCCTACTCATAAAAAACCTCTTATGACGTCGACTTGGTCAGCAAGAACCCCACATTACACTCCGGCTGCTTCAAAACATTGAGGAAGACATCATCATCCACCGCAACCGCCAGATCGTCCCCCACATCATTCTCTGCACTTTCCTCGTCGGCACTCTTATCCATACCCTTAAGAACCTTGGTATCAATATGCCGATACTCCATCAACATCCTCAACTTAGGCTGCTTCGCCGCGCGCCTGGCCTTAATCTTCGCCTCCTGCTCCTCGATATTAACCTCGCTGGCTTTCCGAAGCATTGGGTATTCCTCTTCTTCTTCCACTCCTTCCTCAGACTCTCCATTCTCAGGGTCAGGTGTACCTTCGAGCTTGCCCCGACAGTCGCACGTACAGCCGAGTAAATCGTGAGTCTGGCACCCTTCGCGCTCATCTAGACGAAACAAGTCGCGGAGTTCCTCTTGCGAAAAAGAAGATGCAGAGGCTTTGTTATCTACAACTGCGTTCGCGAGACCCATCTTCATGACTTGGCGCTGGTAGATTTTCTCGTCGAGGCCGCCTTGCACGAGAAAGCGGTACACCTTACATGGCAGTTTCTGGCCGTCGCGGTGAATGCGCGCCATGGCTTGGAGATCGGTGGCGGGGTTCCAGTCGATGTCGAAGAGGACGATGCGTGAGGCGCCGATGAGGTTGAGACCTACGCCGCCTGATTTGGCGGAGAGGAGGAAAGCGAAAGAGGTTGTTTTTGGGGTTTTGTTGAATTTTTCGACAAGGGCCTGCCGCTTGGAGGCTGGTGTGCTGCCATCGAGGCGGAGGAAGGTGTAGGAGAGAGAGACGAGCAGGCGCTCGATCATGTCTAGTGTTGTTGTGTAGTTTGAGACTATAACAATTTTTTCCTCGGTCGTGGTGTAGATGGAGTGGACGAGGCTGTCCAGTAGTCGCAATTTTGCACTTGAAGCACTCGAGTTGAGGATCTTGCTGGGAATGAGTGGGATGATGGATTGCAGCATCTCGGATGGCGTGTCATCATTGTCCTTGGACGATTTGAGTAATGAAGGGCTGTTGCAGACTTTCTTTAGAACATTGATGAGCTGCAGCGCAATGTCCGTACTACCCAGCGCAAGTCTAAATGTTGGTGAGTCGAGAATAGCACGGTAAGTTTCCGCTTGTCCTTTGGTTGGCCGACAAAAGACAATGTGCTCAGTTTTCGGTGGTAGGTATTTTGAAAGGACTTCTGCTGTCCGCCGGATCATGAACTGACTAGTCAGAGTTACAAGCTCCTTCCAGCGTGCCTCGCCTTTTTCGAGCTCTGCTTCACTTGCGTCCGGCTGACGACTACGCATAATGGGCAGTTCAAATGATCGCTTGAAGGCGGATCGTTGCCCAAGGAGTCCAGGGTTGACGAAATCGATGGCAGTATAGAACTCACCAAGATCATTCTGTAGTGGGGTACCGGACAAGATGATACGCCTCTCGGTGTTCAGAGACTGGATAGCAAGCATGGCCTTGTTGTTCGCCGTCTTCAACCTATGACCCTCGTCTGCAATGACGATGTCGACACCACTGCCCTTCTTCAGCTCTTCTTGAACGATACGAAGCATCTCGTATCCCACAATCATAATGTTGTAAGACTTGCCCATGGTGAAATTGGCAATTTTCTTGTTCTTTGCATCCAAGACAAATACACCGACCCTCTCATTGCCGAGCCACTTGCGGAACTCACGTTTCCAGTTATCTACTAGACCAGCAGGACAGACGATTAGGGCTTTCTTGATAACAGGAGGAGAATCATGTATCGGATTTTGCTTCATCAGTGTCCAGAGAAGTGTGATGGTCTGAAGCGTTTTACCCAAGCCCATTTCGTCAGCCATGATGGCACCCTCGCCCTCGCATCGCATACCCATGACGCATTCATACAAAAATTGTACACCCTCGCGCTGGTGGTCTCGGAGGTGTTTGCTGAGAACCGGATCGACAACTACATCAACTATCTGCTTTCCTTTGGGACAGGAATCAGGTCGTTTCATGATGAGGGCGTTGGGTGCATTTGGGTCGTGACGGGGTTGCGGAATTGACGGATTGCGCTGCGGCATGACCGTAGTAGATAGCAATGGTGTTTTGAATTGCTGCTTGCGATGAGCCGAGGGCCTGTGCTCGTGAATGCTCTCCTTATCGTTGGCAATTTCTTGGGTCTTTTTCGAATTTGGCTTAACTGATGACAGAGACTTATGTCCTGGCTCAGGCCGCTTTGGCTGCTGTATTAGTGCAGCTGCAGCCTTGCCTAGGAACATACGTCCCGAAAGGTAATCCGCCTTCTCCATAGAATTCTCAACTTCTATCTCTCTTCCACCGATGGATAGTGTGGATCCAGGAAGTAGTGGCCGACTGCATGCTCCCTTTCCCAGCTCTTTCCCTGTCTCGCTGTCGTTGAGCGTGGCATATCCACCCACGACAGCAAGAACACCATCCCCGTCCCATGTCTTGTTCTTCTTGGTCGTGTGTTTTCGCCATAATACCGTATAATAGTTTCCTTCGAGACCAGGGGGTAGGAATTGTGCTGGTGCTGGATTGTTCATAGTGTTGAGCGGTTGGCGGTTGCCCGCCGACAGTGCATTGGATCCAATTCTTCGTTTCTTGCTCGGTGGCTCGCCATTTTCGGGACGTGGGCGCGAGAGGGTGAGAGGCCGGAAAGGTTTCATGGTGAGCAGCTTCACTCAACAACTAGCATCTCTGTTTGCGAGATGGTTGTTTGGGAGGCGACAAAGGTGGAGGCGAAGTAGCGGCAAGCGCGACGCGCCGAACCAAAACGCGGTCTTGCGTTATCACGTGACATTACCATATCACTCTATTCGATGAACCAGGATTGATTTGCGCTTGAACAGTTGCATATCTCAAGTGCTGTCTCTAACAAGCAATTAAATCCTGTCTCCGCCTCAAATTGATAGTACAATAACATCGCAAGCTTGTTATCCTTCTCTCTTCATCGGCATTAGCATGTTTTACAAGTTCATGACTTTGCTATCATGCAATGACCTTGTTCACTCCAGGACTATTGTTGATCCCAAAACTGTCTAAAAATAAGAGAGAATTGAGTATAGGTGTTGGGTGTGCACGCATAGTATGAGGGTGCGGCATATCAGGTGATGTATCCTTTCTTCTTTTCAATGTAGAAAACGAAACCGAGAAGCGGATATACGATGGCACGAGTGCTGTATATACCCCACTGAGGGGCAAATATTCTATTCAATGCTCTCCACACTTATTCGCTGTCTGAGTCTCATCTATATATACACAGAGAAACCCTAGGGTACGTCTATTCTAACAGTATACTGTATTAGGGATTTGTTAGGCTGGTCAACTTATGTGTGTTTTTGACAACGCGATTTTTCATTGTAATTTTTTGTATTCGAATAGTGTTTTTTGACGCTACGCAGCCCATTTCAACTGGCGACACTACGGTCGATGCAACAGTGCGGGCAATGCTACGAACGATCTCCCTCAATCTTGACCTGCATTTGAAAACTCACCCTTGTAGTACTGTAGTCGTTAGCCGATGTCCGTTGCCACGCATAGGTCTGGAGCCAGACTTTCAAAAAGACCGCACTTACCTCGGACACATTTCTCGCCAGCTTTGGGTCCCTCAGTCTTGATTTTGCGGTCGGTATACTCCAGTTGTTGACACCCCACCACCACCTCCGTATCCGCGCGCCTACACCCTGTCCACTGAACTTTGTTGATCGATTCCAATGCCTCCAGCCGTTGAGGAGGAGGGTCCATAGAACACCCTGTGCAAAACACATTATGACCTATTTCTCATCAGCATGTGGATCCCACCAGAAATATGATAAGCGCATGGTACCTGATCTCGCAGCGTAATCCACAGCACACCCTTCCATCCATCTGCATGCTCAATGCTCTTCAAGTAGCTTTGTTCGAATCGGAGGTCTGGCAGCGGAGGCATTGCCTTGTTCCGCGGAACCGGATCCAACACACTGAGAGGAATCTCGTCTTCTCCAACATCAGAGGCGTCAGCATCGGGGTGCTCATTGAGATGGACTGGCTGTTTCTTGGATGCGGCGGTCGATGGGTTCACGTCATGTCGCGGTGATGGATGTCGGTTGATGGATGCGCCCTGCAGCACCGAGCCGACTTCTATGGGTGCGTCTGAGTCCATGGTATCTGTCGATATCTCTGGTCGCGACGTTCTAACCTAGAAACGAAGCAATGTACAGGTGTAGGACAGTGAATGTCCTGGCTTGGCGATTGACGTCGGAGGTGTCTGCGTCTAGCGCAGATGGACCCTTGGTGGCGGCAGGCGGGACCTCCAAGTTGGCGGGCGCACGGCGACACAACCAAGCCCAGCAACCCCACAAGCCAGGCCCTCGACCACTCTTACCTTCACCGCACCCTAATCCTTACCGCCAACAAGCCGCCAACATGGGTAACCAACAGTCAGGGCTGCTCGACAACATCGCCTCAGGCTCGAATTGTACGTAGGCGGCTGAAGAGAAGGCTCGCCTGCAAAGGGCCTGGCCAAAGGAATGCTTGCTGACGGCACGTAGTCGACCGCGAGGAGGTAGACCGCCTAAGGAAGCGGTTTATGAAGCTGGACAAGGTGCGCAATTGAAGCTGCACCAACAAGCCACACAGCCTGACTAACTCCCACTCAGGACAACTCTGGAACCATTGAGCGTGACGAATTCCTGGCCCTCCCTCAGATCTCCTCGAACCCTCTCGCAACACGAATGATCGCCATTTTTGACGAAGACGGTGGCGGTGATGTTGATTTCCAAGAGTTCGTCTCTGGCCTTTCAGCCTTCAGTAGCAAGGGCAACAAGGAGGAGAAGCTACGTTTCGCATTCCGCGTATACGACATTGATCGCGATGGCTTCATCAGCAACGGCGAGCTCTTCATAGTACTGAAGATGATGGTCGGCAGCAACCTGAAGGACCAGCAACTGCAGCAGGTGCGTGTGCACACGAGTGCCAAGGCGATGAGCGCTTGAAGCCGTACTAACAATTCGTAGATTGTTGACAAGACCATCATGGAGGCTGACCTAGACCGCGATGGCAAGATCAGCTTTGAAGAGTTTACCAAGATGGTTGAGAACACCGATGTATCCATGAGCATGACCTTGGACCAATTTTAAGCGCTATTCCCTATCACAAATACAACAACATCTCCTGATACGAAGGTTTTCTCGGCGAGGCGTTCACGGTGTTGCAGGCACACTTGGGATGGACTTGAAAGTACTCGATATCCATCGATCCAGGGGTTTGGTTCCTGAACATGAGCAGTGTGCGCGAGGACGCTGATATTGACAAGAGGCAGTTGTGCAGCTTACTAGATGCAATTTATCTTCACAAGAGATACCCAAGGCGGCCATTTCTCTATAATGCAGGAACGGCCCGATTCCGCTCCTACTCTAGCACCAAAACACCAAAGCGCCCACTTCTACCTGAGCTTACATATCATTTCAGTCTTGAATGCAATTTTGAAACACCTTCTTGATCATCATCCTCTATTGAACCTAACAAAGACTAAACTTGACCAAGCAGCGAAGAAACGAATTGAAAAGAGCATTCTAGCACACTTCCTTCAGGTTGTATGAAAACGCCTATGCAATCGCGAACCCTAATCACACAAAATTCCAGCACACGACTAGTCTGTACAGAGCAACTTCATGGTTGTTCTACCGCCAGATGTTTCCGAACTTTGCTTTTATACTGAACCAGGCTCCCGGCTCCGCACGCAGACGCGCCAAAAAAGCCTCAACATCCCTCTTGATGTAGTGCAAACTCCTAAGCATACCACCCGCACTCTCAGACATACCACCAAGTTCATTGCGAATCTGGTCTTCCATCGCAGCTCCAACGCCGGAAAACATGCTATGAATCTCCTGATACGCATGCAAGTCGTCGGACGCCCCCGTCATCAGCGCATCCAAACCCGGCGGCAGACACCCAATCGCCGTCATATGCGGATCCGACAGCGTCTGAAACAAGCCCTGATAAACCTGCAGTATTTGGAGCGCACGCTTGAAAACCCGTTTCAGCGGCGCAACTTCACTTACAACTACACTATACAAGACTTCCATCTTATTTAGCAACGCCCCTCGATCGTTAAGCACAGACCTAGCTGTTATATTCTCGTTCTCAAGCGTATCAATTAGATTCGTGAAAACGTCGCTGAAAGCTTCGCTCTCTGTCTCTACCTCGCACGCATGCGAGACTAGGTCTGCCAACCGAAGTTCACATGCTGCCAGAGCCTTCTTGTCGCGTTCGCGCAAGCGCTCGAAGTTCTCGGCCGCATGCTTGTTTTCTGACTGCAGTTTGTGAATGATGAATTTGTGCTCCGCTAGTTCGCGTTGGAGCTGCTCCTTCTGTGCTTCTACGTGGCTGACTGCTACCTGGTCTTTTGTAGCTTGCGTTAGAGACTCCTGGTAGCGAATTGCGCGCCGCTGCGAATCCTCGGCAAGGACTTTGTAGTACTCAATTTGGTGGTGGGCTTGGTTGAGATCGACCTGGAGGGTTTGGACGTATTCGGCGTAGTTGGCTACTTTCTCTTTGTCGTTTTCTCCGGCTTTTTCTTGGTATAATTCTTGTATCAGGATGGCTTGTTCTTCGAGTGCCTGTTGTAAAGCGTTGTTTTCGGCTCGCAGTTTTTCTTCTTTGTATTGAAGTTCTACGATTTTTTGGTGTAGTTCTTCGGTTTCGTCCATTGGTACGGGGGGTTCTTGGCTTTGGAAGAGACGCTGCGGCTAGGTCCCAAGTTAGTAGCCGGGTTTCTTTTGGGGAAACAGGTTGGAGTTTCATGGTCTGAAGGCAGGATTGACCATATATGGCCTGGGACTTTAACATTGTTTAGACATTGTTGGTGTGCAGTGAAAACTGCCAGGTGAAGTAACCAGAGCCACTGATCGCGGCGCTCTTGAACAATGTATTTAACTAAAATGGCATGATGTCTTGACAAGGAGAGATTCATTGCAAGGTTCTTAGCTCGCCTGTTTTCTAATTTCTCCTTGAAATGCAAAGACAATTAAGACACAAGCTGATACTCGATTGATTTGACACCTTTATTCGAACAATATGTAGATATCTGAATCCAACTTCTCTCGTTACTCATTTTCACCGTAATCATGGAAAGACCAATTCTGCTTCAAAATTTCCTTGAACCGCGAATCGTCTTCTACAAAAGCCAGCCATTGCTCTCGGATCTCAGCTGCTTATTCAGTCAACCATGCAGTACTATGTACTTTTCTTCCAAAAACATGGTATACCTTAAGACCTTATTTCTAGGACCTTGCAGGGCAATGCTAAGAATACATATAAGTTTCTCTGTCCGTTGTTTGCTACAGGCTGTGTTCAGATCGGAACAGCTCTACCTCCTAGCCATACATAATTACTTGGGCCCGTACTTTTAAAGCTCAGAAGCTCTGCAATACTGCTCAATGTATATGGAGAAAGCGCGAAGACCTAGAACGTGCACTAATTAGTAGAATTGATTCCTGAATTTATCCGCGTTGGCATGCAACAATGCGGCGGACGCCTGCAATACCTTGCTCGTATACTGCGCGTTGTGGCTGTGTCGACTCCCGTTAATCACGTAGCCTGATGCATCTGTTATCTCAGGTCGTACAGGCAGCCACTCTCTGCTGTGGTGCAGATAATTACTTAATTAACACCTGCCTGATTGCTTGCTGTGCCACATGTCTGCCTCCTGCCACGCGCACACAGAATTGGCTGCCTGTTGTACTAAGCCACCTTGTCGCAATCACGACCCCTGATCGCGACTCCCATTTGAAGAGTAGAACCAATTGTTATTGCGGTACGCTTTTGGTTTCTCTAACATGTGCCTTTCCCTGCTTTCTTACGTGCACTTACTCTGCGCCCTCGCCTCGACTTGGCGCCTCGATCCTGCACAGCCAAGCAGGCTGCATCATTTGGGTCCAGTATTTCAAACCTTTATAGTTGCATTGTCATTCTTCATTTCCATTTTAACTCTGCTGATAACGACAGTGGCTGATAGTTGCAACTATGAGTTCGCTTTTGCCTACAACGCCACCCAATACTTTACCGCCCCTTCTGCGACTCGCATCCGAGCTGCACTTAGCGATCATCTCGTTTCTTCCAAGTCTAAAGGATGCCACAGACGAAGATGATTTGGCACTTCTCCAACTTCGTCGAACGAATCGTTACTTTCGCGACCTTGTTCCTCCGCCGACTCACGACGATCTTCTTTCTCTCGAGTTAGTCTTGTACGAATACCCAGTGTACGCCTGTAAATTCTGTCTTTGTCTCCGGCCAAGGGCAAAGTTTGCTGCAGCTATGCTCAAAGGCAAAACAGGAACCAATGGACAAGCCCGGTATAAAAGATTTTGCGCAGACTGCGGATTCGATACTACAGTCGTTGGGAGGAGTCAGCGGTATTGCCGTGGTTCAAGAGCATTTGTTGGCGGAGTTGATTGGGTATGGTGCAAGCACTGCAATTTAGTGAAAAAAGAAGAAGAGGCAGATTCAGTCTGTCCTGGGCTGTTTAAGGCGTGCTATACCATGTTGGGCTGTAAATGCAACGTAAAATGCGGCAGGCTACTACGTTCTAGGACTCCACCACAGCCGGAGGCCTCGACACAACCACGCTGGGTGTTGCCAAAATCGAATGCGCCTCGAGTTCGCTGGGACGTTAGTGATACAGATAGCGATGAAGATGATAGGACTGATGTGTATGATTATTGGGACCCTCACTTTGAGCTTGCGCAGCAGGAAGACGACGATTGGCGTGCGCTGTAGGGGCTTTCTACTAGTTAACTAGTACTACGTTGTCTAGAATAGACGCAGTTTACCGCAGGGGTGCCAGTGTTCTAAGTAACTAGTACCCCCTATGCTAGTTCAAATGCAGCGTCAAGAAGAACGCCTTTCTAGAAGCATCTATAGATAAAGTGCAAGGCTCTTGAGGTTACTTAGGACATACCTACTCGGTTTTAGAGATGCGGCAGCCTCGTAGTATTGCTCTATTGGAGGCGTACTGTTTAAGTGTCGGATGAGGGCTTGTTCGGTTGGAGCTCTGTTTTGTAGTGATAGCAGATCGAGCTGCATGTTACGATAAGTTCCCAGTAGCGTTTTCGTGCATGAAGAAATACAATCTGATTAGCTCTAAGAATTTCTGCGCTGATCTTCCGGTATATGTCCTACGTCACTACCCGTATTTACAGTTTGAAGACGGTTTTTCAAGTACATCCTGGCTGCCATGATCTTCGTCAAAGACCAGCTCCACATGTTGAGAATCATAATCTGACACCCGTATCCTCGCCGTTCGCTGAAACGTACTCATCCGATGTATCCCCGTTGTTGTATTCTTCAAAGCGACTGCAGACGGAGTTGATTGTTGAGTAAGCGTCAGCAACTCGGGTATGGAATCCCAGCAGCTGGAACTTCGCCGCTGGATGACCAAGCGGAGCGTGTGAATGACCGCCATGACGAGGTGTGAGAAGACTACTACCAGAGCAAGTATGTCGGTCGTGGAAGATACTTTGAAGGCGTAGCCTGTGATTTCCTGTCTGATGTGGAATTCGGTGAATGTAGACGTTGATATGGTAGAGGGATTCTCGTATGCTTGGCCATCCTTCAGGAGCTCGGATTCATATGAGGATTTGCGCATATGGTACGAGACCGGATTGTACTTTTTTCTTTGGATAGGGACGGTAATGTTCAGGACTCGCCAGCTGCCAGCGCGGGATATGGCATCAGCAAAGACGGAAGCGAGTATATGTTCGACATTTGGCACTAGAAATGAGTCGGATGTCGCCATAGACATGAGAGACGATATTGTCGTTCTTGTTTCCGAGTCGTCGGAATTTAGAGTATTGTTGTTTATTATTGTCGTGTCCCACGGCATATCTATACTTGTGTTGAGCTTCAGATTGACGGCGTCGAACCAGTCGGCAGTGATACGAAGTCGGCGCCAAGATTCTTGACTTCCGACATCCAGCCGAAACATGTCATATGCCCGGTAAGATGTTTCAGAAATGTCACCAGACTTGGGGGCTTTTGTGACCGAATAGACCTCTGGTTGCACCGCCTGAGCAAGGCTCACCGACAACGATCCTTTAGCCCATCTCGCATCAACAACACAAGCGGAAAGGTTGCGTTGACTCTTACCCGATGTAGGAGCATCAACTATGATACCTAGGGTGGCTGTCGTCCATGTAGTATCGGCCATATCCAAAGCAACAATTGATGGATGTGGTGATTTCCGTAGAGACTCCAATGTCTCGTCTGGCAAGTCTACCGTGCGCATTTCGGTAGGATAACCAGGGCTCTGATCATCAAAGATTATGTCGTTCGTGATTGCACTACCGAACTCTGGGACGACAGGGAATTGGAGAGATGTCTGCTCAGACTTGAAGGCTTGCAACGGGCTACATACCACTCGCACTGCCGGGACCCATGTTTCGATAATAGACTTCATCTGGTTGTAATATCTATATCTTGCAAACGGGGAGTTGGAGTCGACAGGTATGGCATCAGCAGCAATTTGCCATTCGTCGTTGATCGTAGCCGCCACCCACGCCGCAGGGCCATGAACGCCGGTTGCTGATGATTCTAGCGCTACTCTAGCTCTCTGCGCTGATGCTAGGCTGTAAGGCGGCACTTGTCCTTCTGGACTCCAAATTAGGAAATCCGCAGGTATGTATCGAGAATCCTTAGGGGCTGACCACGGTCTAGGGTTGTCGCTCGAGGAGAATCTGTTTGCCAGCGCCATATACCCGCCGGCTGGGCAAAGCGCATTGGTGTATGCATTTGATGAAGAGCAGCTAGCCCCGAATATACCAGCGCCAAGATCAGGCATGTAGTGCTTGATATCGAGTGTCGAGGGCCAAAGGTCTTCCGAACTGCCATTGATCCAGTACTTGGTTCCCCCAGCAGGCCAAGTATGTTCGCGTGGTATAAGTAGTACAGCAACAGCAGGACCGGCTGTCACAGCGATGAAGCCTGCGAGCACGACTAAGCAAAGTGTTGCTGCATTTCGTCTCATTGCCCCTTGACTGGAAAACGACCCGATGAAAGCCGCAGACCAGAAATAACTCAATTGGGTGAATAGTGCTCCCACTCCGACCAATCCAAAAGGAACACCGTTCCCGTCAATGAGATCATACCGAACTTTGTGCATAATAATGGCCGTAAGACTGGCGATGATGAGAAGCTCTTGAATTTTGGCTGCGATTTGAAGAAGCGCGGTATATTCCGATGTCTTCCCAGATTCACCGGCGAGTTCAAATCCGATAAAATGACCGTGTATATTAATGATGATAAGGAACAGAGCGAATGCACATGGCAAAATGTGTACTGCACATCGCTGGAATGCAAGATGCAGTGATTCTGTTCGGACTGGTTTCTTCGGCTCATGTGGAATATGGTAACGAAGAAGATGAGCTATCAAAACGCAAAAGGCGCCTAGGCCTATGGACCGGAGGAATGTTGCCAGGGGTGGATCATATGGATTACCGTGACGTTTGTCACGTATGTTGTACATTTTGACGACGTAATGGAAAAAGCTGGGTTCAAAGTAAACCTAACAATTCCTATTCTCCATGAACATAATTATGGCTATTGAAGCTCTGCTCTGAAACCAGGCATCCAGTTTGTTGGCGGCTATGTTGCTTGGCGACGATATTGACAGGTATGACTGCGCAGGGCAGGGGTAAGGTTATTCGTCACCCCTGTTGCTCAATAGCTGATCCGGTCTAGATCGAACTTCATATGTGTCTTAGCAAAATCTTGCTACGAATATTCCTACTATATTCTTAGAAAGAAGAAGGTGGAAGACGTTCTTTTCTAGATATAAGATGGGTACAGAGATGGCTGTGAAAAGTTCATGCCGACAGCGTGTTCTGTGGGCTGTAGTTGCCTCGATCACAGGGTGTGAGTATGGCCTGTGGCGACATGTCGTGACCAGCATTGCGGATGCTGGCAGCCGTTTCAATGCAAACTATACAGCGATCGTACTGAGATTGCGCGTCGTTTGGGGGCGGTTATTGCATGGCACAAGTTTCTCCGCCCCACCACTTGCATCGCATCCTGTATGGGCTCTTTGTCAGAACCATTAAATGCACCCTACTATTCTTGCAAGCATTGCCGGTTCTCATCTCAAAGCATCTTCACCGATAACCTTCATAGCCTTATCAATTGAGGGTCCAAATTCGCACGAGTCTCGTCCTGGATCAAACCCCGGCTTTCTGCGACATCAGTGCGGCGTCTCAGAATAATCTTCTTGAGCCACAACAATGTTTCTGCCCAACGAATGTCGTAGCCGGAGTGTTGATATGAAGCTCTCCTGTGAGGGTGGACATCGGCTCTTGCATGTGGAGTTCTGTGAGGATGCCGGAACATTTTTCTTTTCCGATATGTCTGCAAGGACGCAGGGATTTAAATTATCCTTGGTTGCTTGTGCAGTAGCAGAGTGAGTGTTTCGGCAGATAAGAGATACTCGCGCAGCGCTTGGCGATGTGTTATGGAGGGCGCGATATCGTGTGTGGAAATATCGCCGTTAATTTGGAGGATGGTGTAAAAAGAGATCAGCGGATATTCTGAAGTCTATGGCTCCAATAACACTCGTTTTGAGGGTGTGTGTTCTCTGTTAACTTCCATGACTAAGAGTTTTCATCAAAGCACTAGAGTGATGACCATGTGATCGCTGCAATCGACCTTTTTTTCTAGGTCTGTAGGTAGATTGGATTTTAGTTGAGGGAGTTTTCTGATAATGTGTTAGTGGCAAGGATGGCCTTGTGCAGTCAGGTCTAACCAGACTGGCAAAAGTAGAGTTTTTGGAATCTTACCAAGCCCACATATGACATGATTGGAAGTGAGGACGAGATACGGAGAGTGTAAAGCTCGGGGAATATTGGCATTGAATTACTTGCCTCTGCTGAGGTTCGAGCAGCTGTCACCCATACTTTCTGTTGGGTAGACTGGCGATTTCGTGAGTATCAGTTAGCATACGTACCATACTAAGATATCCCATTCGAGTATTCGCAGTTGGTGCCAAATGGGATATTGAATATTTGCCTTCAATTCAGTGTCGTAGTAACGTAGTCCGTACCCGGTCTCAATGGTGAGACAGAAGGTTACACAAACTCAACAACACGCCAGAACCAGATCCTGATGACGTCATAGTACGTGTTCGTTCCTGCAACATTGAACATCGCACACAGCGACGACGACCCAAGGAATTGCTAGATGTAGATTGCAAACTGACACAAAGTTCCTACCCTCAAGTGATTACTCGGCAATGTCTATCCGTACTAGGTAGGCAAGCAAGATACGCATTTCTTGCTGCCTTGGAACCGCCTGATAAAAGGCAACAACGAGCAACCACAGCTAACAGCACTACTGCTGGTCATAAAACAGCACGAAAGACAAAAAGTTCTTCTATCAATTCAATTGACTATCATCAAAATGTTCACTGCCTTCTTGTCCATCCTTGCCGTGGGCACGACATTAGGGGCAGCGTGCGAGGGTGGGGAGCAAAACACAACATGTGTGTTGGATACCGACCCACTACAACAACCCTTTCCCTTCTTCTTCCCACCTCAAGATGCAGCAAACACTTCTGCATTGTTTCCAATGCCAAAATGTCAAGGAATCACGCTTGAAGAAGCCACCATCGACCAACTGCAAGGGTACATGAGTGACGGAACCATCACATCTGTCGATATCCTCCGATGCTACCTCGATAGAATACACCAAGTCGACAAATACATCAATTCAATCATGGAACTCAATCCGGATGCCGAAAAGATAGCTATTGTACTTGATGCTGAGCGTGCTGCTGGTCGTGTACGAGGCCCACTACACGGTATACCTTACATTATCAAAGACAACATTGCAACCAAAGATCGGATGGAGACTACGGCTGGAAGCTGGATGCTGTTGGGAAGTATTGTACCTCGAGATGCACATGTTGTTGCAAAGTTACGGGAAGCAGGCGGTCTTCTCATGGGCAAAGCAACAATGTCTGAATGGGCTGACATGCGATCGAACAACTATTCGGAAGGATACTCTGCAAGAGGTGGTCAAGCGAGGAGTCCTTACAATCTAACCGTCAATCCTGGGGGAAGTAGTACAGGGAGTGCAGCAGCAGTAGCTGCAAATATCGTTACGTTCTCACTAGGCAAGCTCACGTCCTCAAAGATCTATCTCCAATCCAACACTGACACACCACCAGGCACCGAAACCGACGGTAGCGTCATCAACCCCGCAGAACGCAACGCCCTAGTCGGCATCAAACCCACCGTAGGCCTCACCTCGCGCGCGGGCGTCATCCCAGAAAGCATCCATCAAGACACCATCGGCACCTTCGCCCGCACCGTCCGTGATGCCGCCTACACTCTCGACGCAATCTACGGCATCGACCCCAACGACAACTACACTTTCGCTCAGCACGGAAAAACACCCCAAGCCGGCTACTCCTCCTTTCTCTCCAACGCTTCCGCCCTCAAAACCGCAACTTTCGGCCTCCCCTGGCACACCTTCTGGACCCACGCCCCTTCCCCCCAAAAATCCCACCTCTTCTCCCTCCTCACCCTCCTCCAATCCGCCGGCGCAACCATCCTCAACTCCACCGACCTCCCCCACTACCGCACCATCATTTCCCCCGACGGCTGGAACTGGGACTACGGCACCACCCGCGGCCACTCCAACGAATCCGAATACACAGTCGTAAAAACCGACTTCTACAACAACATCCGCACCTACCTCTCCTCTCTCGAAAACACTTCCATCCGCACCCTCGAGGACATCGTCGCCTACAACTACGCCAACGATGGCACAGAAGGAGGATATGCGTGGCCAAATGGTATACCCGCCTTCTACTCCGGCCAAGACGGCTTTCTCGCATCTTTGGAAACGCGCGGTGTGATGGACGAAACGTACTTCCAAGCTCTATCTTTCATCCAGCGTACAACGCGCGAGGAGGGTATTGATGCGGCTCTGAGACATAACGGCCATAAAATCGATGCGTTGCTCGTGCCGGCGGATGTAGGCCAGACGTATCAGGTTGCGGCGCAGGCGGGGTATCCGATGGTTACGGTGCCGGCCGGGGTGGGCGAGGAGACGGGGATGCCGTTTGGATTGGGTATTATGGGGGGTGCGTGGGGGGAAGGCGAGTTAGTGAGGTGGGCGAGTGCGATTGAGGATTTGATGAGGGGGGAGGCCGGGAGGCCGGATATGAGGAGGACGATGCCGAGGTGGTTTGGGTATTTGGAGAGGAATGTTCCGGTTAGGAATTTGTAGGGTTTGGGGAATGGGCAAAGGAGGATGGGATATAGTCTTATCATGCAAACAGGTAGTTACAGGACAGCGATACAGTCGACGTCTCGAGTAATCCAAAAGTTCTTGTGTATCATTCAAATTACAACTCTAACGTCTTTTACCAAGCGAAAACCTACGAATAAAACGGATTTTAAAAAATATCTTCCAAACCAGCCTCATTCCACGACGTTTCACCCTTTGCAACACGATCCCTAATTTTCCAGTACTCGTGGTTGAAAACCCAGTACTCCTCACCGGTGATGTCGCACGTGCCCTTTGTGAACCATCTAGGCTGGAACTCTTTGCCCTCTGCCTCTCGCTGCCTCCGTGTAGCACGCTGCTTCTCTTCCACGCGGTTCTTTTCTGTAGCCGCAAAGTCGTATTCTCCATCTTCCATGGCGCGCTGATCAGGCCGGAGCCTGGTGTCTGTTGGGGCAATGATTGGGCGTAACTTATCGTTGATGGCGTTGAGTGTCACGACAAACGGAGTAAGGTTGAAAGGTATGCCCTCTGGACGCTCGTGGCACTGCCAGACGAGAAAAGCCTTGTTGTCGTCGTGTTTTGACGGCTTACCGCCCTTGTCAATGTCTGCATCCTCAAAGCCAGGGGTGAATCTAGCGTAGATCTTGTCATTCCATCGCCCACCGATGCTCCAGCGCACTCGGCCTTCTGCATCCATGACTTTTCCAACGACCTGGTATGCTGAAGAGGCTTTCCAGCCACGAGGTTTGAAATCCAGCAAACACTTCTCCCCGGTAGTCCAGTTGGTGATTTCCATGAGGCCGTAGTTGTCGATGACGGGGTTTCCGGTAATGATGCCGATGACGGTAGATGTGACCTTCTTCCACGTGTACATTTCTTCTTTTCCACCTGTTGCAGTGGGTCGCAGTCGCAGGAACCAGGTACCCAGTGGATTGATGTCGAAGGATTTGCCGTAAAACTTTGACTTGACCGCCGACTCGCCCTGTATATCGTTAGATGATGGTATAAAGTTTAGATTCCAGAACGTACATAGTAATCCCACTTCTTGGACTCTGCATAGGCAGCACCAATGGGTGGATGATGGCTGACCTGCTCAATGAAGAAGCGGTAGCCCTTGTCCGGTCTGGCGTACTCATAAGTCTCAGCAAGAAGGGGATTGAAAGGCTTAGCAACACGCCCAATAGTGGAAGCATATTCGGAAGCCGCAAATGCAGCGACATAAAGCAGTCGTTCCGTGGAGTCTGATCGTTCGGCAGCAACGTCGAGAAGATCAGTGTATTCCATATCCTCAGCCACACGCTGTAGTAGCGATGTTGGTTCGTTGAAGGATACCGGCAGCGTCATCTTCGTCATGTCCTTGCCAATCATGGACTTGAGAATTCCCTAGCCAGTCGTTAGTATTGTTTAGAATGGCAGTGAGATTGAACACACCCAGAGTGAAATCTTCGGCCTGTCATCTGCATCCATTGCCAGTCGCTTTCGTGGACCATCTTCATAGCCTGCCCACGCAGTGGCAATTTCCATAGACTTCTTCTCCAATGGATCTTCGGAAGAGTCGGGGGCGCTGCTTTCAACCTCTTGAGGAGCACTGGGAGCGGGCATCTCCACAACCTCGACTTCGCCAGCACCGATTGCATCGAAGAACTCTTCGTCATCTTCAGACTCGGAGTCGGAAATGTGGGCTGCAATGTCTGCCAGGGTGGCCTTTTTCCTAATCTTCTGGTTCTGGGTGGATGCGCCTTCGGGCGCTGTCGCCTCCTTTTGCTGCGTACCGTCTTCTTGTGCATCAGCGAATTCATCTTCGTCTTGCTTTGCTTGTGTTCCAGCTTCGGTTTTCTCAAAGCCTTCCAAAGCTTCCCGGAGTGCTTTTTTCTGCTTTCGCCGCTTTTCCTCCGACTCGCCTATCCTATTCTCAAGCTCTTCTTGTTCCTTTGCGACCTTGGCCATGCTCTCTTCCCACATACGACGCACATTAGCTTCGCGATCTAGTCGGTATTGCCAGTAGGCATCACGGTCCCTGGATATCCTGAGAAGATCTCCGATAAGTCCTTTGAGGTTGCCAATGGCTGATTCGTACGAGGCCAGCGCTTGCAACATCA